TTCCGAGTAGCCGGAATTACAGGCATGTGCTACACGCCCGGCTGATTTTTTGATTTATTGTAGAGATGAGGTCTCGCTGCCCAGGCGGGTCTCGAACCTGCGGGCTCAGGCAATCCACTCACCTCAGCCTCCCTAAGGCGCGGGATTACAGGCTGAGCCATCGAGGCTGGCTATATTAAATATTTTAAAGCTTCCAAAATAATAGTCTTATAATGGTACAATGGTATACTCAGTAAGCTCTTTAAAAATATTTCATTATTCTCAAAAATCTAAAAAGTGATCTTTCAGAGTATGTAAAAAGAATGACTAGACTTTGTACTTTGTACTGTCTCTTAAAAGTACAATTGGAAACCTCACAATCTTTGCCTAATATTTGATAAAAAAATAAATTTCCTTACCCGTTTCATTTTTACAATGCTTCCATAAGCTTTCAAAGGTTCAACAACTTTGGTTTCAAGTCTTTCAACCTATGACAAATTAGTATAAAATATAACTGAAACAAAACATACAGACATATAAAAATTTAAATCTGAAATAAAATCTATGCATTTAAACCAAACATAATTACTAGAGATTAATGTTTTTAAAACTTTAAATTAAAATGGCACTGTTTATCCTATTTTTAACCTGTAAATAAAAGGGTATTCACAGAAATTAAGACTCAGAATCTCAAACACATGAAAAACAGCTCAGGTGTACACTAACAGAAAAAGCAGAAAAGCACCTGATATGCAATAAGACAAGAAACTGTCTCAGGCCTCTGAGGAGCTCATCCCTGCCATAGCATCATCTGAGTATTACCTCTATGCATTAAGGTAGTAGTTTCAGGGCAAGTTTTAAGATATCTCAAATTTTAACACAGCTACCATTATCAGTATGATTTGCACACTTTACATATACAGGGTGCTGAAAAATGTATATACATTTTAAGAAAGAAAAAACTGAATTAAAATTGTAATACTCAATCTATAACCAATAACAGAAGATGAATACAAGTCACCTCTGACTTCTGCAATTACACATTGCTATAGTAATACAACTCTACTTTGAAAAGCAATATATAGATAACCTCTCTTAAAATGTATATACATGTTTTTGGCATCCTTGGGTATTATCTCTGAGTCATAATAGTGCACCTTTCCAGAAAAGAAAACTGAAGCTGTATGATACAGGGCAGTGGATATATTTATTAATAAAGCAACACAACTTTCAAAAGCAAATATGCTTAGGGATCACTGTATTAGCTGCATATTTGTCCTGAGAAACCACTGGTGAACTGTCAAAGCCTAGAGAATAAAACACATGTTGCTGAGCAGTCACACTGTATGACTGATCGCTTTAGTTGGAATTAAACAACTTTTCTTATGCATTATAGATTGTTAGTCACATTCTGGGTCATTACTTCTTTCATTAACAGCACTACTGGAAGACATGGAAGAGACAGATTTTTCTTAAAAGCAAGAATATTGATACAGCACAAGAAAAATGACTTGGACGTTGAACTTTTCTCTCAGGATAGGTAATGTAAGTGACATGTATTTAATTGCCTAAAATGAATATGTATTTTTTAATAGCAGGAAAAAGGCT